AACGGGAGCGCACCCCGCTGCGGGGATTCGAACCACCGACCATGCGATCGGCAAGTCCTAGGCGCTGAGGCTTTAACCCACAGCGCCACCCGCGTCCCTGCAGCCTAGAATAGCATTAGCTTTTTATTTTTACTGCTGCTTCTTGTTCTGTTTGAAGCAACAAATATTAAAATACCCCAATATTGCTTTTCCCTCCTCCCCCCTAATCCCCTTTCCTTTTGTGCTGTTTTTGTTAATTGTTTACAGCATTTAAATACCACTCTTTGGTCAAAAGTCTCCCTGAGAGCCTTACAAAAATCAGTTCTAAGATGGTCCCTGCCTTTGGGTTCACATTCTAAAGAGACATGAGGAGGGAGGGAGGAGCAAAAGACAGGCTTAAGCACAAATTGAATTCCTTATGAAACAGTTATTATTGTGACTATCTAGAAGATGAAGAGCTCCTGGTTGTCAGACTGCTCATGCATCTCTCCATAACATGGCCTGATGCAGTTTAATGCCACTGTGTGCGCTGTGGGTAAAAGCCTCAGCGCCTAGGGCTTGCTGATCGAAAGGTCGGCGGTTTGAATCCCCGCGGCGGGGTGCGCTCCCGCTGCTCGGTCCCAGCGCCTGCCAACCTAGCAGTTCGAAAGCACCCCCGGGTGCAAGTAGATAAATAGGGACCGCTTACCAGCAGGAAGGTAAACGGCGTTCCGTGTGCTGCCCTGGCTCGCCAGATGCAGCTTTGTCACGCTGGCCACGTGACCCGGAAGTGCCTTCGGACAGCGCTGGCCCCCGGCCTCTTGAGTGAGATGGGCGCACAACCCCAGAGTCTGTCAAGACTGGCCCGTACGGGCAGGGGTACCTTTACCTTTAAGATGGTGGTAGTCAAAATGTTGGTAATGCATTTAGCACTTGTCTCCCATCTGATGGGCCTCCAGGGCTCCTTGTATAAATAAAAGGTGCAGAGAATCTTTCCTACCTCATAATATTAGAACTCGGCACCATCCAATGAAGCTGAATAGTGGAAGATTCGGGGCAAATAAAAATGTACTTTTTCACACAGTGCATCGTTCAACATTTATCCAACTGACTTATTAGCATTTACTCAGGGACTCTCCAAAGTCTTAAAACATTTGAAATTGGCAGTGCCCAGTATTGCATCTGAGGTATTCCCCATTGCGTGAGGTGTTGACATGTACACATGAAGGCGGGTGGTGTGTATGTGAACCTGGTTAGGAGAACTGATGCTCAATGGCTGAGCCGATCAGGTGCAAGGAGCAAGCTTAGCTGTTGTCCACAACAGCTCTATAACTTTCTCTTACGTGCCATTCATTCTTCCGAAATTAGTGCCGGGAGGATGTTGCACTTGAGATCGCTTACAGTGGGCCAGAAACCTGCCCTCCGTCGCAGTTGTTCCTCCGTAAGAAAAATAAAATGTCCAACGCGGCCTATCCGCTGCTTGCAACATCCAGTTATTACATAGATGGTGCTATTCACAGCAGTACATGACTCCATTCAACCGGCTCCCTGGGACCACGTGACGGCAGCCAGCCGCACGCGCTGCCTAACGCCTGCGTGGGCGGGGTCAGCTCCTAGGCCCCGGGCTCCCTTTTTGCCTAGCAAGGACCTCCTGGAAAGCGCGTCTACGACAACTGCCTGCCTCCGTTCACAGTACTACGGAAGACAGAGGTATTTATTCCATGCTCGGTTGCTTTCTCCACAGCACCCGTGTCGCTTCCTTATTTATATATATTTAATATATAGAAAAGTTTCCACGCCAGCACGCGACGTCGCATACACTCCGGCGTTTCTGCGGGACAGCCCTACATCCCGGAGGGCCCCTGCACGCGGGCAGGAAGGAGCGGAGAGCACAGGAAGCCCCGCCTTCTTTCCTTTCGGCCTCGGACGCCATCTTACAGGTACACGGCGGAGCTCGGCTGCTCCTCTTCCACTCCTGTGGGGCCGCTTCTAGCGGGTCCGTGAGGGGCTTTGGCGCTAAATGGGCCGGTGGCGGGGAAACGGGAGAGGGGGAACTGCGCCGGGCGGCGATTGGAAGTGGGGAGAGCGAGAGCCGTTTCGCCGAGGGCGGCCTGGTCTCCGGGAAGGATGGGAAGAGGGGGAGGCCGGCTAGGTGGGAGAGGGCGGCGGGAGGACTCGGACCCGGGAGCGGCGCTAGTGGGGTGCGCTGGCCTGGGAGGAAACTGCAGCAACGGGTGCGATCCAAGCGCACGTGGAGGTTTGCAATGGAGGCCGCCGCCTCCTGCTTTCTCCTCCTCGCCCAGAAGTGGACTGAGCGCACGCCTTGCATTCAGAAAGCCCCAAGGTTCCCGTCCCTGGCTTCTCCAGTTAAGGCAGGACCTCGAGTGGCAGGGCTGGGAAGCCTTCAAAGGTCTAGAATGTCACTAAGGTGTATAGTCGCTCCTGGAAACGTATCTTATTCTTGCAGCGGTTCTCAACCTGTGGGTCCCCAGATGTTGTTGGACTACAACTCTCATCATCCCTGAGCTCTGGCCTTACTAGCTGGGGTGATGGGAGTTGTAGTTCAACATCTGGGGACACACAGGTTGAGAAAGGCTGCTTTATGGAGACGACCCCCCCCCCCCAAAATTTGCCTGCTCTTGAGCGTCAGTGGCTTTTCCAGAGGCTTGGGCAGGGAGATCTTTTGTACTGCCTCAACTCTTGGGTTTTTTTTATACTGGAGGTAGCAGAGACTGAACCTGTGGCTTAACTATGCATGTGCAAATGAACTTGGAAGTGTTTTGGAGGATATTGTGTGTATCCACACGCAAGCAAAAGTGGGTGTAGATACCTGGGTGTAAAATGCATGTATATGGATTTCAAGATGTTGCACGGGTAATTATTCTGACGAGATATTGAGGCTCGAATGAGACATGATGCTAAACGTGTTTAATGCTAGACAAGGGGTTTTCTGCAGTATTGTGGTGTGAGGGGTATATAATCCCTCCCCCCTGACAATCTTGACATATGCCGCCTCCCCTCATTGTTATTTGCTTTGGGGGAAAGCTACCATTGTGCATGTTTTAATTTTATTTTCTGTTAATTTTTGATCCAATTGTATTTTTTCTTTCAGTAAACCGTCAAGATGACCAACACCAAGGGGAAGAGGAGGGGGACACGTTACATGTTCTCAAGACCCTTTCGCAAACATGGTAGGGAATATTTGTTCAGCTAGTTTAGTTGGTCAGTGGGTTTGTTGCCTTTAGTTGATCCAGGAATAAGGGTTATTTCAGTAAACTGATGTGACCACCAAGGTCAGGTGAACGTTCACATCCCAGAGTCCATATGCTCTCAGTATCAGCTGAGACTTACGCATCTTTAATTTATTGAAAAATGTCTTTACATATACTTTGCTAGAAATCTGTACATGCAGGCTAGAAAGCTCAGAAAGTAGCACCAATAGAGGGGCTTTGGGAAGAGGAATTGCTTCTATGTGTAGTTTATTTTACTTATATAGCCTGAATGTTGTAAGTCAATTTTAATACTTTTGATACATTTCATAGAGTTGGAAGAGATCCCAAGGGTCAACTAGTCCAACCTCTGCTTAAAATCCTCCAAGGAAGGAGAGTCCACCACCTTCCCAAGGGAGTCCATTGTCAAACAGCTCTTACTGTCAGAATGTACTTTCTGATGTTTAGTTTGAATCTCCTTTCTTGTAACTTGAATACATTGGTTCAGGTACTACCTTTCAGAGCAAGAGAAAACAAGCTTGCTCCATCCCTCATGTATCAGCCCGTTAGTTATTTGAAGATGCCTATAATATACACTCTTAACCACCTCTTTCTCAAGCTAAACATACAAAACTATCTTAAGTAAAAATATGATTGATTATTATTGCATTTTTTCATAGGTGTGGTCCCTCTTGCTACCTACATGCGCATCTATAGGAAGGGTGATATTGTTGACATAAAGGTATTTTTAAATTTAAAAATGCTGCTCTAATGCTAATTCTAATACTGTAGTTCTCTCATTATCCTTCTAAAACAGAATTCAAATTAAATACAATCTAACATATAGAGTATTAAATGCTGGGATTTGAACTATGCTCACATTTGCATTTCATCTTACAATGTAATTTGGAAAATACACAGAGGAGTATTAATTTGCCAGAAGGTTGCCCTCTTCAGTATATCACACTAATGCTAATACAGAACTTTACTTGAAATTTTTATTTCATAACACTCTGGAGCTTGATGATGATTGTCTCTTATGATTGCTTTTGTAATAGCAAAGTGAGCAAATCATTTCACCGGCACTGAAAGCAAACCAGAGGTGTCCAGTTCTTTAGATTTAATTTTATTTGATTAAATATTTTAAGATACCATTAATATGTAAGGATAATTGTGGCAACCATGCGTGTATTGGCAAACCATTCATCAGTTTGGATATGGCTGTTGCATGATCTGATTTCCTGCAACAGGATAAGTGAGCAACTGGAAGACCCAGTACTTCGCTCTAGAATTTTTTTTCAAATGGTAAACATTGCTTGATATACAATGCTATTCCATTCGCAGAGTAGACCAATTGAAATCTAGTCCATTGATTGCAATAGGACTATTCTGAGTATGACTTGCTAGATATTACCCACTGTATAATCCAAAACATAGCTTACTTGATAGTTTAATTATTAGACAGATGCTTAGTCTAGTTAAAGCTTGGGAACCTGACATTGGAGGACTTTGGGACAAATTTATATTTTTAAACATGTTCTTTCTGATATTGAAAGCTTTTGGGAAATGTTGCTAATGTTATGATTGCAATTGCTTTAGTTCAATATATCTTTGACATTTTTTTGTAAGATAAGCTATGGTAATATTTTCTGTCTGTTTTTTATTAACAGGGCATGGGCACAATTCAGAAAGGCATGCCCCACAAATGTTACCATGGCAAGACAGGAAGGGTATACAACGTTACCCAGCATGCTGTGGGCATTATTGTGAACAAGAAAGTTAAGTAAGTGCTACTAAAATGGTTTGGAGCTTTAATTGCATTGATGGATTCCTTTCTCCCCATTCACTTTGCCAATTAGACATTTGTTGTCTCCATTGGCCATTCAGGTGGGGCAGAGACAATATCCTTTTAAAACCCAACCAGTTAATACTTAATTGGCTTGGATCCTGTCAAAGGAAACATACTGAAAAGTTCTTCAAAATCTGAAAGCTGTTCATGTTCCTACAGCAATCAGAGTTGCCTCTGCTCTGAAACTAGCATGGTAACCATATGTACTGACTTGGGCTCAGCTGTTAGTCCTACTTGTTTTTTTTTAAAAAAAAAAACCCACAGGAAAAGCTGCTAAATCTAACAGTGTTGGTGTTCTGTGTCTAGGGGCAAGATTCTGGCCAAGAGAATTAATGTGCGAATTGAGCATATTAAGCACTCAAAGAGCAGAGACAGCTTCTTGCAGCGTGTGAAAGAAAATGAAAGAAAGAAAAAAGAAGGAAAGGAAAAGGGAATTTGGTTTGAACTAAAACGCCAGGTAATGTATTGAGATGTGAACAAAGTGTATGTACTTTGTCTGCAAACAAAGGGAGGGGGGTTGGCGGAAGTGGTTTGAACATTCTGTGTGACTAAGATGTCAGGAAGCAATTAAGTTTCTGACAAGAAGAATGTCAGGTAATTAATTCCATTAACACATTTTTCAGATTAGAAGGAAGTTTAGTCAGAAACACTAGCGGGGTTTTTTTCTGCATAATCCAAGTATGTTTCAAATGCATTTAGCCTTGGTATTATTTTCATAAAGTTATTTTCAGTGCTAGTAGGTAATCTTTGTTCATATTATGGGGGCGGGGGGGAACCTGCTGTTGGCTTGTTTTAAAAAATTGCTACTGTGTGACTCATCCTATTCTCAAGTGATACAGCAAACTTGCTAGGGGAAAATATATTTAACAAATTGTAAAATGATTCATGCATAGAATTATTAGTTGCCATATTGCGAGACGAGGTGCCATGCTTTCTCAAGTCCAAAGTATTGTAGGTTTTTGTGTTCTAGGGACATAGCGCTGCAGTAAAAACAAGGAAAGCCCAACAGATGGCACCTGGACTAAACAATGCTATTGTAACTTAGATTTATGTTTAAATTTCTTTTTCTGCCTTCTAGCCTGCTCCTCCAAGAGAAGCCCACTTTGTGAGAAACAATGGCAAGGAGCCAGAGCTGCTGGAACCAATTCCATATGAGTTTATGGCATAGTGTATGTGAACAAAATAAAATACCATGTTGAGGACCTAAGTTTGTGTTGGTGTGGTCAAATTATTCTTAACAAGCACTGTGCTTTTGTAAAAAGACAAGAACTATTTGGCATGAATGGAGTGTTGAGTTAAATTATAGGCAGAAATGATCACTTAAAGATAGCCAAGTTCTTTCTCGCCCCTAAGGGCTGTCCAATCCCCAATGCACTATAAATTGGCCCAAAATTGTTACTTGTGGGTTTGCTGTTGATTTAATTCCAGCTAAGTGAGCTAGATGTTTAAAAATACATAAATAATACTTATTAGTTAGAGCTGATTAGCATAGTCTCTCAAAGCATTGGTTTGGGTTATAAAATTTAGTAACTTGAGCAGAGTTCTAGGTGTGTCAATCTGGGTTGAGAGATGCAATGACCGTTTTGTGTGTGGGTTCCATTCCTGGCCCCCTGCATGCATCGGCGGAGCATGAATGAGCCCGACCTGTTACGCCCTCTTTCTGCCCTCTTCTGGGTCCAAAAGGACTCATACGTCTGTGGTTGCACATCAATTAAATGCACACAAAATGGTTGTTGCTTCTGTGTGCGCGCGCATGTGTGTCTATACGCAACTTACCATTTGGCTAATGAAATCAACCCATTCTCTTGCACTAATGGGATGAAGCAGAAACCAAGTGTTTTTTCAGTCTATAAAGGGTACATGCAGATGGAGTCCAGCTTTTGATCAGTAAGGGTTATTTATCTCCGTTATCTATGCCAAGCTATATCTTTACAAACTTTGGTCAACAAAATCCATTTTGGAAAAGTTGAGCATATTCCAGCCGCCCATTCTGTGGCTGTGTGTGTGGGGAAATGGCACGTAGATCACCTGTGTGAATGGAGAGTTTGACATCTAGCAGACTCTAAAAAATAACACCCTTTGTTCTTATAAATTAAGTGCTGTTCATTACGTTGATTGTGCTTTCCTCTTGTCCTTGATGGCTTAGTACAATTATGCTTTCTGTAGCTACAGGAGTGATGTTCCAAAAATACACCAACATAGCCCAGTTTAATCACTTGGTGATTCAACTACAGTTGGGCTGAAGTTGCTGAACTGAGTAGCCTCTCAAAAAGGAATCCAGTCTCCAATGAAGTTTTTTGTCCTTTATTGTCTCAGGATAAGGGATGACAGCATCCCTTATTTCCCTTCCTCTACCCCCTTTCCCACTACATTTGCCTTTTACCCCCACCAACGCTAGGGGATCCACTTAGTGTTAGATTATAAACACATGTTGATCTTTAAATATGATTGATTCTGCATTTTAGCCTCGTCACCCTGGTGCTTGGCTTCCTTCTACAGAAAACACATCTGTGGGGAATAGTGAGAAAAGAGTGATCTGGGAGATTAAAAAATGGGATGAATGGGCTGGTACATCAACAGAAAACACTGGTTCTGGTAAAACATCCTAGAAATGGCATGGTTTTTTTCATGGGTTCTACACCATGAGTACTGCGATGTCAGACATCGGATCTCTGCTGACAAAACACAGATCTGGTGCCTTCCAAAAAGAACTGCAGCATGCATTCTTAGGGGCCCTTGTAATTTTTACCAAGGATTCCCTTAAGCCACCATCAGATCATAGGCTAAGGATGAAGGTCTGTAGCTCAGTGACAGGGTATCTGATTACATGCTCAATGTCCCAGATTCAATTCTTGTCGTGTCCAGGTAGGGCTGGGAGATTCCTACCTGAAACTAAAGTACCTCCATCTGTCTGAGCTAGATGGACCAAAGGTCTGACTATAAGGCAGCTTCCTATGTGTTATTTTCTGTCGTTCTACATAAAAAACATAATATCCATGCCTCTGAACAAGTTGTGCTAGAAAGCACCATGTATTTACCCTTGGCTGTACATTCTACCAACAGATTTTGGAGCAGCACATATTTTCAATCTTAAAGATGTCACTTTTATACTATTTAAATCTTGATCTCTGGCTCTTTGTTTCTTTCTCTGGCTCATCCCCCTATATTCTCTTCATTAGCATCCTTTTTCAAGTATTTCCATTTCTGGATCTTCTGCGGTCCTTCCCCTTGTTTGCTGCTATTCCATCTTCTGTCTCACCCAGTCTTAGCTCTGTATCCTCACCCCCACATCTGTCATTCAACTTCTACCTGGCCAGCTCATTCTTGATGGGTCAAAATACACTGAAAGAGTCAAAGCCACTTCAGACTATGTGGTGTATGTTTCAAGAGTGCCATACAAATGTGCACTTTTACAGAGAGCTGCAGAAAGCAAAAGATGGGAGTCAGAAATAGGTTACATTATTAAAAGCAGCAGCTTTTGACTGGAAACAAACCTATCAAGGTTTTTCTCTTTTTTATCAATAAAAATGTAGGTGGGCAAAACAAGCTTCCTCTTTAGCTATGTGGTTTCTTTGTTGAAATGAACTGAATAGAAAAAGTGACTGTACTATTCTATGGGAGAAACACTGATGAGAGCGTGATTCAGTCAGGTGCAGAGCTGCCCACTACAAAAGGTTACGAGTAACACATGCCTCTCCACTGTCCCAGGTGTGGGATCTCCATTTTGCACATGTGAAAAGGGTTAAAGGACATGCAAGCAAGTCCCCTTTGTTCCCAGCTCAGATGAGGCAGTAATGCTTCTGAATATCAGTTGCTGGAGGCTAGAGTGCTGCTGTGGCTGGGCCCTGCTTGCAAGTTTTCCACAGGCTTCCAGCTGGCCACTGTGAGAACAGGATGCTGGACCAGGGCAAATGGCCTGATCCAGGAGGCTCTTCTGTCCTTTTCTCATAATACTGGAACTTAGGGCAATGAGTGAAGGCAGACAAAAGAAAGAAACTTTAAACTATCATCAGCGTTCCTCATTTTTAATTTGTATACCATCTATCTTACAATACCCAAGGCGGTTTACAAGCTGAAGAAACAAGGAATGTACACCTTATAACAATCTAATCCAATACAAAAATGTGGTACTGTAATAAAACAACTTCAAGCAAACTACACCAAAAATGTAACACTCAGCAATAGTATAGAATAATAATGCCAGCATATAAAAATTTAGCAGAAATTCACTCTTAACAATTACAAAAAATAATTTCTAAACTACAATTAGTAAAACAACGGCAAGCCACAGTGCATAAAACAATACAATACAAATTGAGAAGCAGAGACTAGAGGGTGGAGCAAGGCAGGTGGAAGAAGGCCTTGCCTGGACAAAAAACACATGAAACAAGGTATTAATTTGCTGTTCACTTTTATTGTAAAGAATGCAGGGATGGAGGATGTGGGGAAGTCCAGTAGATGATGAAAAAAGATTTGGAAAAATGAATTTTCTTATATTTAAATTTTTCTTTTTTCTTGTAAAACAGCTTTTGTTGTGTCATGGACGATGTATTCTGACTTTGGAAAATAAAGCAATAAAAATTTTTTTTTTAAAAAAACGAAAGCACGTCAAAGTGCAAGTAGATAAATAGGTACTGCTCCAGCGGGAAGGTAAACGGCATTTCTGTGCACTGCTCTAGTTTCGCCAGAAGCGACTTAGTCATGCTGGCCACATGACCCGGAAAAACTGTCTGTGGAGAAACGTTGGCTTCCTCGGCCAGTAAAGCAAGATGAGCACCACAACCCCAGAGTCGTTTGCGACTGGACTTAACTGTCAGGGGTCCTTTACCTTTTTAGGCCCGGAGGCTGGGGCAAGGCAGGTGGAAGAAGGCCTTGCTGTGAAGTCCTCTCCCCTCACCTATGAATCTGTGTCTAAACGGCTCAGGACTGCAATACCTCAAGGACCGCCTCTTCCCCACATAAACCAACCTGGACTCTGGGTTCCTCACCTGAGGCCCTTCTTTGTGTGCCTCATCCCTGAGAGGTCCGAAGGGTGGCAATCCAAGAGTGAGCTTTTTCTGCCGCGGCTCCCTGTTTGTGGAATGCTCTCCCAGGGAGGTTTGTCAGGCGCCTTCAT